GGACATGATTTCTGTTTTTCTGTTTGTTGGCTACAGGTTTGTAATACATAGCCTTTATAATGTTGAAGTATGTTGCTTATATTCCTAGTTTCTTCAGAGCTTTTATCTTGAAAGGGTATTAAATTTTGATATCTCTGGACATAAAGGAGCTGCAAATCAAAATGACATTGAAATTTTACCTCACTCCAGTCAAAATGGCTATCATCAGAAACACAAACGAGTGTTGGTGAGGATGCAGGAAAAAAATAATCCTTAAACACTGTTGGTGGGAATGGAGATTAGTGCAATCACTATGGAAAGAAGTATGGAGGTTCCTGAAAATCTATTCCATCCAGTGATACTACTTCTATGTGTATATCCAAAAGAACGTAAGTCAGGACAATAGAGACTCTTGAACACCCATGTTTTTTGCAGTACTAGTCACCATAGCAAACCTATAGAAATGGCCCAGATGCCATATAACTGATGAATGGATCAAGAAAATGTACACAATTGAATATTATTCAGTCATAAGAAAGAATGAAATTATGCTGTTTGCATATAATGGACATATCTGTTGATCATAAAGTTAGGCAAAATAAGATAGGTTCAGAAAGAAAAAGGGCACATGTTTTCCCTCATATGTGGAAGCCAAACCTAAGATATAAATATACACATAAAGATATATATGCAATAGCAAAATACATCACATCTGTACATAAAGATATATAACAAAACACACTGAAAGCTACGAATAATAGGAAGAGGGGATGGAGAAAAAGAGTAATAGAAGGTGTTAATCTGATTAAAGTACAATATATACAAGTGTTAAATACCATAGTGAAAATTCTTTGAACAGTTAATATACATTTAAAAAAATGAAGGACAGTAACTGGTCCTGCTAGGGTGTGGATGCTAGTGAGAGGAGGAAGATTGGATGGAGAGAGTGAATATAGTTGATATACTCTGTATACTTGAATGAAAATAGAACATAAAACCTGTTAAAATCATTTTAAGAAGGGGAGAATAGAGATGATGGAGAATGGTGGAGGGGGTGAAACTAATCAGGATATATTGTAAGCACATAAATAAATACCAAAATGAAACCCCAATACAACTAACATATGTTAATAAAATGTAAAAAACACAAAATATGGATTAAAAAGGCTTTGACCTCTCAAGATTTTTTGTTGCTTTGGTAAACAAATTATAGGATTGTTTTATCTAATTCTGTTAAGAATATCATTGATATTTTAATAAGAATTGCATTGAATTTCTTGGTTGTCTTGTGCAGTGTATACATTTTGACAATTTATTCTCTGTCAATGAAGATGATATGCCTTCATTTTCTCATGTCCTATATATTTTCCAAAAATATTTTATAAATTTCAATGTAGAAATTTCTCATGTTCTGTTTAACTGACACCCATTTGTTTTTGTGTCTGAAATGAAATGGCTTTCCTGATTTCTTCCAGGTAATTCATTATGCATATGGCAAGGTTACTGATTTTTCTGTAGTAATTTTGATCCTATCACTTATCTGAATTCATGTATTAGTGCTTATGTTCTTTTGGTGTTTTCCATACATAATATTGTGTTTTCTACAAACAGTGCCAGATTTAATTCCTCTTTTCCAATTTGGATGACCTTAAATTATATTTCTTATCCACATATTCTAACTAGGACTTCCAGGATTATGTTGTATAAAAATGTTTTTGTCAAAATGTTGGGAAATCCATCAATATTGGTGAATCAATAAGAGTAGGTCTTTATGGCATTCCAGGTATCAACGGGATTTAAGCTCAGGTCTCTATCACATTGGTCTCTGTGGGTATAGAAACCTATTCTGTAGTTATGTCCGAGTTCCATGTTGCATAATTGGAATGGTTGTATTCAGAAGGTGATATAATCTCCACATGGCTTCTGTGAATTGTGGAGAGATGGTTACTATCATGGCGTAAGCCAACTGGATGCTATTGGAGCTGCCTTTACCTAAGAGGTAATAAAGCAAAAGCAGCTGTGAAGGATGCTTAAGTGCTGACTCTCTCACAGTTCTAGAAACCAGAACGCTGAAATTATTTCACTTATGGGAAGTCAATGAGTTATCAAAGCCATGTTCTCCACATAAACTCTAGGGGACATTCCATTTCTTGGCTCTTCCCTTCTCCATTGGCTACCAATGCCTATGGCTACCTCACTTCAGGAGTGTTTCCACAGTCACACAGCATACTCCTTTTTGTCTGTGCTTAAGTCATTCTACCCACTTTCTACAAAAATACATGTGTTCCCTTTAGGGCACACACAAGTAATGAGTAATCCCAAATATTTCTCACTCTTTGATTACTAACCCTGGCATATTTGTATAACCCTTCTGTGCCACGTAGAGAACCACTAAAATTCACACGTGAATCTTTTGGGAGCCATTACTGTGCCCAGAAGAATACGATGTGACTACCACACCATGCACTGTTTTGAAAATTTTCAGTAAATCCAAAACAATTCTAAAATTAAATGAATGAAATAGTTCTTGGAAATACTTTCAACAAGAGAAATTTTGCTGTAAGTGCAGAAGAAATATTTGTGTTTCATTACACTGATCCAGAAACTCCAGTATGGCATTTTACACATTCACACCCAAGGATGTTGCAGCTTTCTACTGTACAGTGATGAGAAATCACACATGGACCCAAATTCCAGTGCTTAGGTTTGTATAATATTGACCTCTGTGAGGATCACAATTAAAAGCATGACTATATTACATTATACTAGCATGCTGAATGCACCTCTTATTTACTATTGACAAATAACGTTATATGTATATTCTACAATGCACTTAAAATTTTTTCAGTTACTTTTAAAATTTGTGCATGAAGTAATTTTTAAAAATATAACCAGATATAGAACCATTACAGATTCTTATACTTACTTCTTTGAGCTATCATTTGCCATTTTATAAGGAATAAACTCTAAGTAAAATTATCAATGTTTTATATGACCTATCCAATAAATAGATTTACAGGAAATTATTTTGTCTAAAAGTGAGGAGTGTAAGCTGGGCACTGGTGTCTCACGCCTGTAATCCTAGCTACTCAGGAGGCAGAGATCAGGATGATCATGGTTTGAAGTCAGTCCAGACAAATAGTTCACAATACCCTATCTCAAAAAACCCTTCACAAAAATACGGCTGCTGGAGTGGCTCAAGGTGAAGGCTCTGAGTTAAAGCCCTAGTACTGAAAAAAAAAAAAAAAACAAGTGATGAGTGTGAGAACTAAGAGAACCTGTAGGAAAAACTTCTCAGAAATGCACTGCATGTTTATCTAGAAGATTCATCCCATGTAAGAATCACTATGGCTATATGGTTCAAAAGGCTGCCTGTTGGTACAAGTGATATGCAAGATTAATTACTATATTCACTCAGTTAAAATATTTATTGATAATATGCTATGAAACAGACATCTATTCTGGTACTGATAATGGTATTTGAACAAAGTGCACAGTCACTACAATCATGGAGTATTACTTGGGGGTAATAAATAAGAAACATGTAAGCAAAAACGTGGTAGGTAAAGGTTTATAAGGTCTATGACAATGACAGTGGATGAGGGAACAGATTGTGTAATGAAAAGAAGTTTATGAAAGTGGTCAGGAAATGTTTCCATGACAGGATAACATTTCAGCAAGACATGAATGGAATGATAACATTTCTCATAGGAAACACCAACTTGGAAGCCTGGAGGCATAAGATTGTTTATAGTTGGAAGGAACAGCAAAGATTTTGGTGAGGGTGGAGTATAGGAAAACTCCAGAGGAGTGGCCAACTCAATTAAATTGAAAAATAAATGGTCAGCATTAATAATGTTGGCACATTTACAGAAAAAACATTTATAGCACAGTTGGTATCATAGTAAATTTTTAAATAGTTTGAAAATTTTTGTTATATATGAATATAATAAAAATGACTTTTTCCTTCATGTATCTGGAAATCTGGCTATTATATTACTTTGAAAATTAAAACATGAACATGGTGGTTGTATAAATGTTTCAGGGAAAAAGAAATATTACTTCATATGAGGTGCTACATTTGTGTATCTCTCATTAAAATGTAAAAAGAACTACATACTTTATTCATATGTTTCCTCAAAGTAGGATGCTTAGAATAGCAGAAAATAATTAAAATATTATATATAAGTTTATATTCTAATACCCAAATTGAAAATTAAATTAGGATTCCTATTATTCAGGCTTATCCACTGAAATAGAATCCACAGGATGTGTATAGGCACATAAGAACAGCTTTGCTGTGGGTATCAGCTCATGTGATTATGGAAACCAAGAAGACCCATGATTGCTATTTGAAAACTGAACAATTGGGAATGCGGGTGGTATAATTCATTCTGAGTTCAAAGACCTGAAAATTAGGAGTGTGTGTGACAGTGTACATCTTGGACCAAGGACCTAATAGTGAGCAGTTCTGAGTTTTGAAAGAAACAGAAAATAGATGTCTCACTTAGAGAAGACAATGGGGAATTAACTCTTTCTACATAGCTTTTATCTATTCAGGTTTGTCTTCCATGGATTGGATGAGGGAAGATCTTTAGTAAGTCTTCTGAATAAAATAGAACTCTCTTTAAAAACATCCTCAAAGATAGACACATAATAATGTTTTACTACCTACCTAGTTATCCCTAATCCACTCAAATTAACATATGAAAGTTACTACCTCAAACAGCCACAGTATATTTCATTGCAACAAATTACCCACATCCATTTGTATGTGTCCTCAGAGAACACCTCGATACACTTCTATTCATAGACTCCTTTATGCATTTGCTTACATGCATTTGCAATGGCATGTGATAGGAAAGAATGGAGGGACAATAATTGAATGCATTGATATAGCAATGGTATTATGTTGGTATTCTGAATTCAATTTAAAATAAGAATTACTGTATGCTGCAGACCTGAGAGGAATTAATCTAGGAATTGTGCATCCAAAAATGCTCAAGTTAAAACCAAAAAGATTATTTTGCCTTAAAAACAATTTTCATGAATGCATTCTTGACATCCTTGTTCCTCAGGCTGTAAACCACAGGGTTCAGCATGGGGATGATCATCGTATAAAACACAGATGCAATTTTGTCTGTGTCCATGGAATGACTGGAGCTCGGCTGTAAGTACATGAAGATAACAGTTCCATAGAAAATGGAGACTGCAGTGAAGTGGGAGGCACAGGTGGATACAGCTTTATGAAGTCCTGCTGCTGAGTGCATCTTTAGGATGGTAATGAAAATGATCAAGTAGGATATGAGGATTACTAGGAGGGCAAAAAAGATATTAAAGCTGGCTACACAAATAAGAACCAGCTCATTAGCATGTCCATCAGAGCAAGAAAGAACCATCACTGCTAGAACATCACAGAAAAAGTGAGGGACCACATTCGACTTACAGAAGGAGAGACTGAATGTGTTCCCTGTATAGATTGAGGCATTTAGGAAACCACAGACATAGCAGCCTATAACCAGATATGCACACACACTTGTGGTCATGGTGGTGGTATAATGTAGGGGTTTGCACACTGCTGTGTAGCGATCATAAGCCATTGAGGCCAAGAGGTAATTTTCCACATCAGCAAAGGTTGCAAAAATGAACATCTGAGCAGCACAAGCACTGTAGGTCATGACCTTGTCTCCGCTGAGTAGTCCAACCATGACTTTTGGAGTCACAGCAGAAGAGTAACAAAAATCCACTATAGACAGATTACCAAGGAAAAAATACATGGGAGTGTGGAGATGAGAGTCTAGAAGAATCAATAGGATCATCCCCAGGTTTCCAACCAGAGTGATGACATAGATGAGAAGAAAAATTACAAAGAGAGCAACCTGTGGATGCAGATCACTGGTTAGTCCTAGCAGGATGAATTCTGTCACGTCTGTCTTGTTCACCATCAGTGTTACCTGAGGGTTTCTAGGTATGCTACAAGCATGAAAAATAAATTGAATTAAACTTAAAATGCATAAGTAAAATTTGTGTATTTTTCCCATTAGTAACAACTTGTACTCTGAGATTTTTCAGAAAATGCATGGACTTGATGACCAAATTTGGTGCATTAGGTATAAACAGAGGTTACATACTACCGAATCTACAGACTCAAAATAGATAATATACCCAATTTAAAAACTATAAACTCATGAAGAAAGTCATAGAAATTCTAGTAGCATGACTTGTGTGGTTCCACCTTTATGATGAATCACTTCTCAGTAAAAACTGACACCTCCCTGTTGTTCACATGCCAAGATTGCCTACAGACACATTTAGCAAGGTGTGTATTCATTGCTTCTTCCTAATCACATTATGGGTTTGATTCATTGCTATTCATCAAAAGTATGAAGAACAATAGGTTCAGTAGGTTATTCATATTTACATGGTACTAATTAACATCTTGAGTGGTTCTTAAGTCTAGTGGTCTAAAATGAATTTAACTGAAATTGAGTTTAACTCAATTTGCAACTAATTATTCTCTGCTTTGGCTCATTCTCAGTCTTTGGGATATTGCTGTGAACTGAGTGATTGATTTGAAGGTAATTTCATCTACATGCTAGCCTTTCATTAAAGTTAAACAAATAAGCAAGAAAAACTCTACTTGTGAAATGATTTGTCTTTAAAACACTAAAGCAATTTAAATGAATTAACAAACATTGAATTGTATCTTAACCCTCACCTCCATTCCTTTCAGTACTAGCCCATGTATACGGGTTGGTAATGAACTTTTTATTAATTTGAAGGATTTGTAACTTGGCAACCTAGCGCAACTATGCATAGTAGATGTTTGTGCTTGGAGTATGTCAACTCGCAGACATTGAGTGAGGGTGTATCATCAGTATGGTAGACGTAGAGTTGGGTTCCTGGTAGGGATGGGTATCACACCTACCATTTACCACCTAACTTAACCACTGGTTACTGTCCTAACATACCTCCCATGATCATCATATACCCACTTGGCACAGGAAGATAGTAATGGTTTACTGTGAAATATAAACAGGATAGTACATAAAAGATAACAAAATCCTGGGAAGACAGCACAAACTGATGAATGTCACTATCTTATTATTGTTAGGAAGGGATAATGGACTTTATGTTGGTTTGATCAAAGTTGATGTGCACATGCAAGGATTCATGTAGGTGATCTTGAAGTCTAAAACTTTCTCCTACACAGATTTTACTGTCCCATGCTATGCATCCTTATTCTTTTCACAGTGATATGACTGCTCCTTCTACAATTGCTTGTGGTCCATTCTTTTCAAAAATTTCCTTCTTTAAATAAATAACTTGGGTTAGATGAAATAGATCATTATTCTTAAATTCATTCTGTCTCTCACTACTATCACACCTTCTCTAAATTTCAGAGACTGAGAGTTAAAATTTCCAAGTTATGGGCAGTCTTCAGCTCAGAGGCTATTATGGTGGCAAGTTCTATGTTACAAAATATTTTCTTTGAATCTTTTCTTGTGTTGATGTTAACTGTATTTAAGACTTCTTTTTGGCCTGAAACCTTTGGGAGGATATCCACCCTAAACTACTATTCCTTACCATCATTCTCCAAAATCTTTGGCAACTTCAATTTATGATCCTGCCCTTGTTGATACTGTGGTTGCCAATCTTAAAATACTTGGTAACATTTAGCATAAAGCCAATAATTAAAAATTATATATATAATTTTATTAACAATAAAATTTACATTAAAATTTTTATTAAAATATGCATATTTATAGTATTATCATCTTTATCAATAAGAGAACTCAGGATTTGAAGAGTTATGTGATGCTCTAAATTCATGAAAGTAGTATGACAAAGTTTTAAACTTCAAGAATTAAAGCCACCCACAAAGAATCAACACAAGAAAAAGTTGAAAAGGTTGAAATGCAGTTCATAGAATGCTAATTTTTCTTAACTTTTTTTTTGGTTTGAAGAGGTATCATTTTATTATTCTGTGTTTTCATTTGCCTTTTTTGTTTTTTAACTTCCAATTACATCAGATATATAGTAAAAACACTAATCATCAAAGCACCATCTATCTAATCTTATTCAGCTCACCTCACTAAGAAATATATAAAACATCTCTTTCTGGTTTCAAAAAAACTCATACTAGGTATATGTAGTCTTGTTTCTTTACATGAATTATGCCTCTTGGTAAAATGCTTATCAAATATAGACACTTACCAGTTTAGTAGAGAAAGTGCATTCAATCCAGAATAGTCAGTCTAAAATGGTAAAATCAGCCATGGAATACTATATAAGTTCTATTGGAAGAGCTATCTCAGGTAGTGATCAAAAGATCTCAACTTCTATAAAGAAAGAAAAGGTGGAGGAAAGAACTTTAATGAGGATCAACTTCTTAATCTAACATGAATTTTTTACCTGCCTTTTGAAGAATTATTTCCTTGTTGTAAGCAATGAAATATAATCATTATTTCTCTCAGTTAATTTGCAGCTTGTACTTATCAATTACAAATAAGAAAGGTCTATATAGTGCCTCATGAAGAGCTTGTCATTTAAACGTCAATGAATAGAATTTTTATCTTTGAGTGTCTTCCCTGAGCTCAGTGAAGGCTCACAGCAACCCTCAGGACAGAAGAAGTCCTGTGTATACTAACAAAATCATCGTTCAGGTGACAAGTGGTATCCAGTCATGCATGACATGCAAAGCACCCTTTCGAAAATGGCCTCATTTATGTACTATTGCATTTTCAAGGTTTATACGTGGAAATCTGGAGAGAATTACACAGACTTGAAGAGCTCTGGGGATTTCCCTTGTGAGAATATCTAAATCTTGTTCTGCTTTCCTAGTGAAGAACCAACTAACCTGCCTATAGGGATCAAGCTGGCTACCACCTTTTAAATTTTAATTTATTTTTAACTCAGTTCAATTCTTCTGTTTGTTGATTATTTTCCTTTGGATGTATTAACCATTACTGAAAGTAGGGTGATAATATTCCCAACTATTACTGCAGCGAAGTTTGTATCTTCTATTATGTCCATGAATACATGTATGTGTGTTTGTAATATATGTAATTAGTGTTAATTGTATATGCTTAGTATTAATATATATCCTTATTATTAATTGTTATTATTTTGTCCTGGTGAACTGGTGCTTTTGCTGTTGCAGAGAGGGTTTTCTTGTCTGGTTTCATTGTGTTTAATTTAAATATTATCTTACCTATTATAACTATAACTTCTTCTGCTTTCTCTTGTATTCCATTTACATGGAATAGCTTATTTCAATGCTTTATATCCACTCTATGTCTATCATAGAGGTGAAATGAATTTTTGTAAGCATATGTATGCACTTTGGTCTTACACTGCTTCATTATATGCCTTTCAATTACAATATTTAATTCATTTATATTCAAGATAATTACCTGTAGGTAAGGTCTTCATATACACATTTGATACTTTGCTTACAAACTTGTTACAGTTCCTTTAGTGATTTCTCATTCTCTTTTGGTACCTTACCAATTAAGTAATTTATGTTCATAGAAATTTTTAATCCTTTCTTCATTATGTTTTCTTTGTGTATTCTAGACCTTTCTTTCCTAATTTTGTGAAAACATGAGGCTTACAAAAACCTTTTAATATTCATGATATATTTTAGAATTTATCACAAACTAAGAACATTGTAAAGAACAGAAGCAAACTTGAAGATAAAATGGAAATTAAAGGAAAAACTGAAGTGCTATTAGTCAAATAACCCAAGACCTGGGAAAGGAATATGCAAGAACTCACCTACTCCATCAAAAGATCAAACCTGAGAATCATGCACATTGAAGAAGAGATACAAGCAAAAGGGATTCATAACATATTTAACAAAATAATAACAGAAAATTTCCCATATCTAGAAAAAGTTATGCCCATTCAAGTACCAGAAGTTTTCAGGACACCAAACAGACTTGGCCAAAATAGAACTATGCCATGACATATTATCACTAAAAAAACAAGCACACAGAATAGAGAAAGAATACTGAAGGCTGTAAGAGAGAAAAAAAACAAATAAAATACAAAGATAAACCCATCAAAATCACAGCAGATTTCTCAGTGGAAACCTTAAAAGCAAGAAGAGCATAGAGTGAGGGACTCTGGGCACTGAATGAAAATAATTTCAACTTTAGAATACTCTACACAGCAAAACTATAATTCAAAATAGATGGAGCAATAAAAGTCTTCTATGATAAGCAAAAACTAAAACAATATATGACCATCAAGCCACCACTACATAAGACTCTTCAGGAATTCTGCACACAGAAAATGAAAGGACAGACAATACCAAACCACAAGAGAAGAAAAGGCAAGAAAGTAGAGACTAACATTGATTCAGCTACACACAATCAAACACTTAAACAACAAAAAACAACTAAATGATAGGAATCACCACATACATATCAATACTAACACTGAATGTTAACAGATTTAACTCCTCCATCAACAGACACCATGTGGGAAACTGGATTACAAAGCAAAATCCAACAATGTGTTGTTTCCAGGAGACCCATCTCATTCACAAAAACAAGCACTGGCTTAGGGTAAAAAGCTGGAAGAAGATTTACCAAGCAAATGGCCCCCCCAAAACAGGCAGGAATAGCAATACTTATTTCAGACAAAGTAGACTTTGAACTTACATTGATCAAATGAGATAAAGAAGGATATTCCCTACTAATGAAAGGTGAGATACAGCAAAAGGAAATAACAATTTTCAACCTATATGCACCTAATGTCCGTGCACCCAATTTCATCATACATACTCTGAAAGACCTAAAAGCATATCTAGACTCCAACACAGTGCTAGTGGGAGACTTTAATTTCCCCTATCACCAATAGATAGGTCATCCAAACAAAAAATCAACAAAGAAATTCTAGAGCTAAATCACACCATAGATCAAATACACCTAGCTGATGT